ATATTTGTATTCCTTTCACTAAGAAAAGACTGTTCTTGTGACCTCATATCCTCAGGCCCTGAGATGTCTCTGCTCATTTCTTGGGCCTCAGTCTCCCTCTCCCTCCAGATCTTTGTCACCCTGAGCATTTTAAGCTTCTTCCTTTGAAAAGGTTCCCCTCCTTCCTCCAGTGGGTTATGTTTCAGGTCCTCTTTCCCTCTGAATGCAGTGGCCTCTCAAGGTTTTGTCTCAGATATTATTCTGTCTTTACATTTAGCAGCCCTCAGCTACCTCCATGCAGAGCATGCTGCCTTTCTTCATTTGTCCCAGTTCATCCTGGATACTTTAATTTTGTGCACATCCACTTCCCATACAAAACCAATACTGCGCCCCTCCCCACAGTTAGCAGCCTCTATTTGTTGTTTGGGTCTTACTCTTAAATATTTCTTCTGAGACACCTTTTTTCATCCCTTCAGACTAGATCTGGTTCAATTATATCCTCCTTAGAATGCTATTCTTTAGTCAGAATTTTGCTAAGTGTTACAAAGAGTTGTCATGTTGTCCGAGGTCTGTCTCTCTGGTTAAACTAATTTCCCAGAGGGCAGAGAGAAGAATATCTCATTCACTGCTAATCGACTGTGCTCAGATGGTAGATATCTTATCATCCCAACCAAATGGAATTATTCTCTTTCTGTGTCCTCTATGCAGTGAAGAATCACTAGGTACTGTAATCAGGTTCTTCTCTTGTACTTTATATCCAAGTTTATAAGATTATAACATTTATAGACATTTGTTTAATCTCTGCAATCAAAGCAAACTGCAGTAACAATGAGCATGCTTGAAATACAAACAACCAATTCATTTTTTGTTGCTCTTAACAGCACCTCCTTGATATAAACGTATAGAACTACCTCAGATGAACTGGATGTAGACTTGGGGCCTATAGTACCAACTTTATTGCCATGCAAACATTTGAACACCAAGTCTGTGCCAGGCACTGTTCTAGGTATTTTAGGTCCACCTTGGGATGTGATCCAGACAGTCGGGAACCTGCCCTTGCAGAGTTTACATTCTACTGGGAAAGGGCAAGCCTAAGTATTTCAGGAGTACTAAGGGCTATTAGAAAAACAGTAACAACAAAGGGAAAGAATGACAGGTGCCATTTGGCCCTGGGCAGAAAGGGAGGCATCTGAGGTGAAACGCGCAGCTGGCAGATGGAGTGAGGGAGTGAACCCCGTGAACCCTTGGGGAGCAGGGTTGCAGGCAGAAGGGCCGCGAGAACCTGGTGCTGAGGTAGGGAAGGGTCCCCGGCCGCACAAGGGAAACACTGGGTTTCCAGCACAGGGAACCGGGCGGACAGCGGCGACAGGAAGTGCCAGGACGTTTGTTCGGCCACTGGAAGCACGTGATCCTCCCCCTGCAGTGGCGTCAGACGGTCAGTAAGCCTAACACTGCGTAACGGTGCGCACGTCATTCACCCCGCTGCGTCCGCCGCATGCATGTTCCCGCCGCAAGTCACGGCAAGAAGGGTGAGTGCCGTAAATACGATATTTTGAGTCCACATTCACATAACTTTTATTACTGTCTATTTTTATAATTATTGTTTTAGTATTAGTTACTGTTAATCTTTTTCATGTCTAATTTACAAGTTAAGCTTTACCGTAAGGTATGTAAGCACAGGAAAAAGCAGTATATAGAAGGTCTGGCGCTACCTGAGGTTTCAAGCGACCAACCGGGTGGTCTGGTAATGTTCCCCCATGGAGAAGGGGGAACTACAGCAGTGATATTCTTTTGTCAGCTAACTCCTTCCAACACAGTTGCAAAAACTTAGAACTTAGGTAACAGTGCCTCAAGGAAGGCAATTTCTCTTTAAAAAAAAAAAAAAGCAGTAATTAAAGCTGGGAGAACCTGGCCTAGTATAGCTCCACCTCTGAAGTATCTTTGCCAGAAAGGTTGGATCTAAAATTTGTCAAGCCATTAGGACCAACGGTAACGTACAGGAAATGCACAGGACAGAGAACAAGTTACAAGTAATACCACAAGGAAGCTAAGGGGCAAATCCTGAATATCAGTCTCTTTCAGAAAACTGACCTGTTTTTTTTAACTAATCAGTTGCCTGAAGAAGAAAAAGGGAGAGGGGACTCTTTTAGATTAAAAAGAAAAAAACCTTAAAACTTTGACCACCAAATTTAAAACATGGATCTTGAATCCTGATTTGAACAAACATACTGTAAAATCGTGGCGATAATTGGGAAATTTTGAATTTGTACTCGGTGGTGTTACCAAGACTTCTTGTTGATTTTTGTGAGCTGTGAAAAGGCATCGTGGTGGTAACTGTGTGTATGTAGGAGAGAAAGTATGTTGGAAGGAAATAATGTGACAGGTATTTGCTTGAAAGTAATTTGAGAAAAGTAAAAGAAAGAATGAAGCTTGAATCAGAGGAGGTGTATATGAGGGTTTATGGTACTGATCTCACCACTTTTGAATATGTTTTAAAAGTCTCATTAAAAAAAAAAAAGGCCGGGCAATGAACCAGCTTCGCCAGTAGGTGTGTTTCTTAATCTTCAGCGAACATCAGTATCACCTGGGGGGCTTGTTAAACCTAGATTGTTCTCTCCTCCCTAAAGTTTCTGATTCAGCAGTGCTGGGGTGGGGCCTGAGAATCTGCCTTTTTAACAAGTGCCCGGAGGATGCTGATGCTTCAAGCCAGCTGTCCCTTTGGGGACCACGGAGTAGGAGGTTATCAGTGGGGCCCGACATCCTGAAGGGGCTGGGGTTACCTTGCTCCACGTGCTCGATGACCCGGAGGGCCTTTCTCGCTGCCCATCCTCCCATGGAGACGTGGTCCTCGGTGGCAGCGCTGGTGGAGAGAGAGTCCACAGAAGAAGGGTGGCACAGACACTTGTTCTCAGAAACTGCAAGAGGCCAGGGCAGGTTGAGGATGCTTCTAAATGGGAAAAGCTGCAACAAGGCCTTTTGGCTGCCTGAGGTGGCCCAGGCATGGAATACTCTGTCCAGGAGCTGGGTTCCCCAAGGGCTTGGTCACTATCCAAGCACCAGAAGGTCCAAAATTATTTTAGGAAAAGGATGCAGGTTATTTTCTCCTAAACTGAGAAGCACTCTAAGGCTATAGTGAGTTCTGAGATAAGACCTGGATGGGAACCCTAATGTCACAAAGCCAAGTTAAAAACGCTGGAAGCATTTAGCACACTAGGGAGACTAGGAGAAAAAAGATGTAGTGGTCATTTGCAGGTGCTCGAGAACAATATTCCTGGTTGTGTCACCAGAGGAGGCAGGGTTAGAATTCAGGCGTGATTTTGGGGTATCCAGGCTAGACCCACAGATCTTGAGCAAAATTAACAGTTCAGACTTTCATTGATGACAGGTGGTTGTACTGGGTTTAAGCAAGGGCTTCATGACGCCAGAGATAACTCAGAGGATGTGGGAGGAATCCTAGAGATGGCCTAGATGGGTGTCTTTCCAACTTCATTGTGCATATGAATCACTCGATCTTGTTAAGCTAACTGTTGGAAGGGGCCTGATTTCTGCTGTTCTAGCAAACTCTCAGGGGATGGCCAGACTCTCACCTTGAGACCACACTTGAAATAGCAAAGACCTAAATTACAAAGTTCCTACTCTCCAGGTTCAAAAACCACAAAAGGTCAAACTCAGAGATTTTTCTCCCCTTTTTGGTGACCTTGAAAGTGGCTCTGAGTGAAGCTTCATTTCAATGCTATGCAGGATTGTGAGATGATCCAAGAATAAACTTGGGTGAGCAAATCATCCTGGTTTGCCCAGACTTCCTGGGTTTCAGCACTGCAAGTCCCAGGTCCTGGGATCCTATGCCTGCTGTACGGACAAGCAGGAGGTGGTGAGGCTCGTTCAGAAAGATAACTTACGAGTCCCAAATAAAGGAATCTCCAGCTTCATTAATGAAAGCAAGCTGAACAACTTCAGTAGGAATCAAGAAGGCTTCCCAAAGTCCCTCATGTTTTCTAGAAATCAATTACCACAATCCTTCCATGTTAATGCAAAAAATTGCTGCCTTTAAAGAGGCATTTTAAAAGGTAAGTGAACCAATAGAATATACTGGACAGAGAAGATTAGGTCTGTGACTCCTTGTTGGTTATGTGTGTTGAGTTTCAGTGTGAGGCTTAGATGAGGAAGGGGTTAGGAGTAGTATTAATAGCAACTAATTATTTAGTGCTTCCAGCATGCCAGGCACAGTTCTAAGGCTTTACATGCATTAATTAATCCATTTAATCTTGAAAACAGCCTGTTAGGTAAAATTTTCATCCCTGTTTCACATAGGAGTAAACTGAGTGTCAACAGGATCAAGAAACTTGCTCCATATCACACTGCTGGAAAATTTGGACTCAGAGTCTATGCTCTTAATTAACCATAATGCTATCCTGCCTCTTGGGTAGGTTTGCCGGAAAAAATAACAGGATGCTCAATTGAATTTGAATTTCAGATTAAAAATAATTTTTTTAGCACAAGTTTGTCCCAAATAATTCAAATTTAACTGGGCCTCCTGCACTTGTATTTTAAATTTGGCAACCATGTTTTAGGATAAAGTATTGATTAAACTGAGATCTTTGTTAATTGCAGTGAGAGCACAGATGTGGGATAAAAAAAATGCCTTATTTTAAATTTTACTTAAATTCCTACGAGCTGTGCAATCCGGGGTAAGCCACTTAACTTCTTGGGTCTGCAGGTGTTCGTCTGTAAAAGGGAGGTAACAGTAGTACCTGCCTTGTGGTATTGCTGTTGACAATGGAGTAAATAGAAGTGAAACTCTTTGTGCCAGACCCTATTTTGATGTGTTATCTGTCCCTTACAGTCTTAAGTCAGAAATCAGGTATATTGAAGCTCAATTTTCATCGAGGGCATCTTGCATCCTACCAGCATTTTTACATGTTGAAATCACATATTTACGGTTTTAGTGGTTGGTGTAGCTAATGGAATTATCCACTGTGTAATCATTCAGGTCAGCTCAGGTCGTACCATTAACTAGAAACATCTTTGTCTTTTTCCTTCTGACAGTCTTCAAACTGAGATTAAGGGAAAGGCTACAAAGATTAAGTTCATATGTGATGTCATTTGCGTCCGACAGAGAAATTGTGAAAACCTCTTTATTTACAACTTCGTTAGTGTGTGATTGTTTCAGCATATGTTGTTTAAGTCTTATTTTATATATTTTTCTAAAAAATACTAAAAAGACAAGCTGTGCATTTGTATTGAAAGAAGATGGATGTAAATGGAACGGTGAAAAGTTAGATCTCATTCAGGGACAAAAGCTGATTCTTTTAGGTAAAACAGAAAGGCCCTTAGACAGACAGACCTGGCTCTGGGAAATGGCAGTGTGCTTACCAAGGGCCGCAGCTGTGCAGTGGGCGATCATGAAGCCAGAGTTCAGACCACCTTCAGCCACCAGGAAGGCAGGCAGCTCGCTGAGGGAAGGGTTACAGAGCCTTTCGATTCTTCTTTCGCTAATTGCAGCAAGTTCGTGAACTCCAATGGCCAAATAGTCCAGGGCCTGAAAGAGTGTCTCAATTCAGTTGGCCTATATTGGAATATGCTTTCAGGGTGAGGTGCAAGTTTAAAAAGCTTACTTTTGCTGGGTATTCACCATGGAAGTTTCCTCCAGAAATAGTCTCTCCCCTACTGGCATATACCATCTTTCAAAACAGGTTAAGGCTTGAATATCGTATTTGCTGAGCACTTCAGGTACAGCCACCCCACATCCACCCCCCAATAAGAAGCATTTACTGTTGATTTATATGCACAATTTTTGAGCATTCCAGACCCAAAAAGATAACCTCTCTTATGCTTTTCTGAGACCTTAGGACACATCTTGCTAACAGATGCCCAAAATAAATAGTGAGAAAGCACAGATGCTCACGACACAGTTCAGAGCTGCGGTGGCTGGAGGCTGAGAAGCTGAGGGTGGCTCCCGGGGAAGAAGCTCAGTGGGGCGGCTCTGGCTGCTCAGGGTGTGCTGCCTCGATAATGCTTCTCTGCAAGACCAAGACTGGAGGCTGTTTTCTTTTTCTTTTTCTGCTTTTCACCTTTTTTTCATAAAAGCGAAAATCCTCCGCTTTCAGATTTCTTTCCATTAGCAAAAAACAGATATTGACATAGGTCTTTCATAAGCAAAATGGTATAACATGAACTTTAAAAAAGCAGAGGATGTATGTATAACTCTTTCCCTACTCTGCTTACTTTTAACATTGAGATGCAGTGTTCACTTGTACAAGTGTGGGGTGGAAAGGAAAATCTTCCTGCAAGCAGTTGTTGACATAAAGGGACACACACAACACACAAACCTTAAAGATGAATCATGTACACCCAATGAGGAGCCAAAGAAACATGAAACAAAAATGATGTTTTCTTTTGAGGTTAGAGATTCTCAAGCACCATAAGTATAGTAATCCAGTGGTTATTCACTTTCCCTCACCAAGTTTATAACCTGAAACTAAGAACTCACCCTGGGACACCAGTTTAAAAGCAACTCCACAGTGACTTGTGCTCCATAGAAGAATCTGCTGAATGGAAGAGTGTGCCGATGAGCAACCACCAAATTGGAACAATCAGTTCTGGGAAAATTTTCAAATTCTCTACATGGCGATCATGTGCCAGCAGTGTTCACAGCTGATGGCAGCTCATAGGTTGCCACAAACCCATTTAAGTAGGAGGCAGCTTAGACTCACTGAATATGAACACCCTCAGGGACCATTCAGTTCTACCACACTCTTCACTTAAACCAACAGGCACCCAGCAAGAGCAGTAACAGACCCTTCTTCCGGTTCCAAAGAGCTGATTTTCACCTACTGGACTAGAGAATATTTATTACCTATTAACCAGGAACTCACTCTGTGAGAGAAAGGTTCTGACCTCCAGATTGCTGGAGATGTATGTGTTACATTAACTTAGTCAAGTTTGGAGTTATTCTTTTCTGTACATAAAACTGTGAGCCTATTACATCTGGCCCCGTTCTTCTCCATGCACCTACCCCCAACCATGGGCCCTGGTCCTCTCTCCATTCTCTGACTCCTCAAGCAAATCATCTCTGCATCAGTTAAGACTTAAGCATGTTTTTGGTTCTCTAGTTGTTCCAAATTTGTTTGTTGGCCATCAGATTATAGCAATCAGAATTTAACTCCCATAATATCCAGCAAACTACATAATAGGTATTCTATATCTGCAGCAGAAAATTGAGAAAAATATTGTTTCAGGTATCACAGTATTGCAGAAGAACCCCCAAATATTTGCCTACTGAAAATTCACCAATAATTAAGAATCTTTAGTTGAGAAAGGAAAGAACTTTTGACTGAAATTTTTGCTGGGCAAGTGGTGGGGGGAAAATTCAGTAGGGAATTAAATTACCCTTCTCCCATGTACAGTGATTCTAATGGTAATATTGGGGGGTTTTACTTTATGAGATACCCTTTCAAATGTCAGTCAGGTAAGTGTAGAATGGATTCCCCTCCTCTACAGTGCAAGGACTGATTGATGAGACAAGACTACAGAGTTCATGCACACTCCGCCCCATTCAGCGGTGGGGTGGTGTTGAGGTGAGTGAGTTGAGTATTATTTACTGTGAGTTTAATCTAACTGTGCAACAATCTGAGAGGACATAAAACACACATCCTGAAGAAAGCTTATCAGGGAAGCCACACTAAAGAGCTGATAAATCTCACACAGCTGCTGTGAAACCACTCTGCTGACCCAGGCTGTGAACTGCTTTTATGGCTGCTAATCTAGCACTTTCTCCAGTATTAAGAATTGAGGCAGGGATAGGTAAAAAAGATTCCTAAGGGCCTGGGTGGTCTTCAAATGCAGTGCTGTGTCTCTAAAGACTTTGCCAGTCTGACCCCTGACAGCTCACATCGACTTCTGGGGGGACCTGTGCCATCAAAGAACATTCCAAAGCAAAAACAAGTTGGCTCTGAGATACGCATACCAGGAAAGGAAAGAAACGCACCATGCTTGAGAAATGGAAGCACTCAATATTGTTTGTACAAATATGGAAACACTGATTTGAGTAAAGTCCACGTCAGAAATAAAAACCTGGATGGCAATAGTTATAACTCTCTGGTAAATACTTTGGAGTGTTAAAAGGTTGCCTTCTGCTTAATGCATCACGGCATCCCCACAGCCAGGAGGGTTTGCATGGCCGTCAGACCTACCGAGGGTCTCGGCCTTCACACTTGTGACAGGGGTCTTCATCCTTCTACCAACAACTTCAGCCATGGGTTACAGGGTGGATGTCCTTGTCAAACCTCTCAGCCGGTGCTGGAAATACCTCCTTTAATCTTTAGTGGGTCAGTTTTGAAAGCATATTTAATAGAGTGTTAGACTCAAAACCTGAGATTAGGTTCACAGACCTGCCTTACCAGCTCTGATCTAGAGAAAGTCTTGACTTGTAGGCACTTAGTCTGTGAAATGCAGTGATAGAACAGAGATGCTACACAAAATGATCACTTCAGCAGATCTTAAAATTACCAGCTGGAATTCTGTAATTACAGCTTAGCACACAGTCCAAAGATACAGGATTATCTGTTGCACTGTTAAGTTCTGTGGTAATAATGTTCTTCACAAATGCGATTGTGTCATTCACCACACCATGGACCTAAAATATAAGATGAAATGAGTCAATGCGTGGAAGATACTGATAATGGTGCCTGTCACACAGTCTGATATTCTTAGTAGAAGAGCAAGGATTTATTCTAACTGTAGAGCTTATTTGGCAATTCTTTCCATAGACATTTTCGATTGATCTAGCTAGAACAGAACTTGTTGACTGAAAGGAAATGAGGGCATTTACTCCTGGGAGGAGTCTTGATTACATTCTGGACTGGAACGTGAAACACTCTTTCATTCTTGAGATGTGTGTTCATCTCTCATTCAATTAATTGCCTGTGCAAATGAGCAGTAACACCTGCAATGCAAGATGCCTCATGCCAACCCAGGCCATCTGCTTTTTTATTTGAAGTTAAGCCTCACAGACTCATTTATGATGGTTTGTGTCTGCCTATGAAATTCAGATAAGGTACAATCTTGGATGCGTGCTTGAACTTTGATTAGACTTTTCTGTGAATATTGCTGGCAAGCTGGCTCTGTTTCCATCTACCAGGGAGAACCAGTAAAACTCCTTTAAATGGTTAGGATGATGTTATTACTAAGAGTATTACTTAAAGATAGGGCCCTAAACCTACACAGTAAGAACAAAGCAGTTCAAACAGCAACAGCTTAGCATACAGAGTAGAAACTTTACAATAACTGGACAAATGGAAGTAGGATATGCATAATTTTTATTAGAAGCAGTAGAGAAATTTAGACCAATACACGATTTTCTAACACCTTCATTTTCTATATTCTTTGCTGATTTGGGGGAAAGAAAATAAACTGTTTGTTTACCTGTGGACAGCAGCGCAAGGTGTATGCATCCTGAACACGATCACAGAACCTGTGACTTTCTGCGGATGTGGTGGTGAGAATGGCAGAGAATGTGTTATCATTTTTTCCACAAAACCCAAACCCAGATAAGCTCACTCACAGAAACACGCCCAGACCTGCTATCTCAGATGGGTGGTGATCTGAGTCCAAGAGGGACCGAAAGCGAAAAGCGACTTCGCCTTGCCCCCGATGAGGGCGAACAGCATGGATGTCTAGAAGTGAGGAAGGAGAAAATGAGTACCTCTTACTTGAGTCACTACCATCTGTGGCTCAGGACCATCCATGGCACAGACAGCCCTCACAAGTCCCAGAAGTTCCTAACTGCTGCTCACAATTAAAACTTAACTCTGAAAGCAGGATTTTCCTTATTGACTTCATTCATTACACTTTACATATCTGATTGCACAGTATGTGTTGAGCCCATTCAACTCAAGACACTAGGCCTAGCCTAAAATAAGTCAGGCTCATAATGGAAGGGAACTCTATAGTGGCCCAATTTTAACCAAGTTATTTTTAGACAGTTTTCTGTCCTACCACATATAATAATAGGGTATCTTTCCAAATCACTACTTTCGAGGTAAGCTACCACTTCCACAGTTTTTCTCTCCAAGTTTTCTCATGGGAACCAAGTCTAATCCTACTCTAATTGTAAACCCCTATGAACAGATTCCTAAGACAACACATAGTTTGACGGGAGTCAGATCTGTGTGATCTGAGGCAGGTCACTTAACGTTCAAGGTCAGTGTGTCTGTAGAAGGTGGTTGTTTCAAGGATCAAGTGCGCACAACCTGGAGGAAGCCGTGGCAGTATTGCAGGCACTACAGGCACTTGGTTTTCTCCTCCTTCCCTTCTCCCCACTCCTGTGTCTAAAGACCTCCACCACCCAGTGTCAGCAGCTCTCGCTGAATGAACTGCACCCAAACAGAGGAACCGTGCTGACCGGTATCGAAGGCTTTGGTGGTGCCCTTCAGCACTTCAAGGGTCAGGGCCGCCACAATGTCAGCCTGGCGTGCGATGGCGCTGGCTCTCTCCACCGCTTCGCAGCCCAGGGAGGTGATCATCTGTGTCCCATTGATGAGTGCCAGGCCCTTTGGGGAGGAGGAGAGACATTTCCTACTGTATTATAACAAAACTGCATACAAGTTGGTTTCATATCTTTTGCTTTCTTAAGCCAGTCAGCTGAATGATGTTTATCCATGTTTTCTAAAGCACAAGGCAGTAATGCTTATTGAACCCCTTGATGATTAAGGGCCACCCGATGGAAATCGTTAGTATAAATCCAGCAAATGGAATACCTGTTAAATGTCCCCATACTTGAGGCAGCAATGTAGCTATAGAGTAGACTGCATATAAATCCTTAGCTTAATTATGTTGCATTTCTTCTTTTACTTCTCATCATTGTAGACATTTTAAAACAATTCTGGCCCAAGACTCTTGGCACAGAGCACTTTAAGGGGTATTGGCTCAGAATATCTGTTAGAGATCCTTAGATAACATGATATGAAGTTTAATTTATTAGGTAAGAGAACCCCAAGCATGTGTGGAATAAAGAATCAATCCTTATGGAGGAACCCTTTCTTCAGTGACCAACTTTTAACAAATATGTAAGGCATGTTTAAGAATCCACTGAGACTGATATTGAGACTGAAAATAGTACATAACTAAAGACCTGTTAAAATGAACAAATTTTTCCATAATCTCACCTCTTTTGGTTTCAAAACAATTGGTTTCAATCCATGAGCCTCTAGGACCTATGGAACGATTAAAAAGATCAAAATGGGTATCAAGTGAAATACCAGCTATTTCTAATTTTCTGAGGAATCCAATAAAAGGTACTTAAGCCCAAAGGTCTTTTGTAAAATATTAGATCTAAATGAATTGATTCTGTTCTTCTCTGGTCTATTCTCTAGTTCTGTACTTTAGTCTGAAAGCAGACTTGTCCAAATAATTTTTGCACTTGAATATGGGGCTCTAGTACCTACAGACTCAAGCCTGAATTTTGGTTTCTAGGTCCTCCATGTTTGGTTTCTACCTTAGTGAATCACTTTTCCTCTTGCTGCTTCCCGAGCACGTGTGCCCACCCGTCCAGCACTCAAGCTGGGCTCCTGACTGTCCGTGTTCCCCTGCCTCCAGGGCTTGGCCTAAAAAGTCCTCCACCTTCATCACTTATCTAAACTCTGGCAGGATAATCTGCCCTTGAAATAAAGAAGTGAAAGCAGACACTAAGTGAAGGTTCTTCTAGGGAAGAAGGAAGACAGAGCCAGCACCATTTACCATGCCCATTTCACAGGTTTATTAAGAGTACTTATTCCAGGCCAGATTCTGTTCTGGGGAGGGTGCTGGAGATGCAGGCAGGAGAAACCGAGGCAGACAAGCTCGGGGCAGTTACAGCAGAAATAGTATGTTAAGTGCTCCGGGAGGGAGGAAGTGGTCAGGGTTTGGTGGAAAATAATCCCGTAAGATGCTAGGAGAGTACAAAGGAGGGGCAGAAGGGACTTGGTGGGCAGGGAAAAGCAGCAGAAGAGCAGAGGGGGCCGTCTCCCAGGGGTTTTGTCAGAGGAGGAACGGGAGCGAGCAGGGGGGAGCAGAATGGACATGTGCTGGCCCCTCTGCCTAGGACACAGCGCTTGCCAGCCGCAGGGAACCTCCAGCTGCTGTAGTGGAGAGCCTGGTGGGGAGAGATGAGGGGGTAGCATGACGAACACGACTTTATAAGCCACTTTAAGTTTAGAGTTTATCCAAAGGACAATGGGAAGCGATACAGGCTTTAGTGTGGACATGCTTGGATCTGAAGGTGGTTGGGGGAACACTACATAGAGGGAACGTCAAGATCAGGCTGCATGGAAGAAAGGTGGGCTGGAACCTGTGTCTCCATAAGGACTGTATGTTTGCTTAACTTCCTCCTCCTCGGTCCTCTGCCCCTTCACTTAAGTTAGGGGACCTCTCAGCAATTGTTTAGAGATGGCACTTCAGATAATTCTTTGGGCTGCTCTGATGGAATTTGGAGATGGAAGAAGAAACATTAAAACTTTATCAAAAAGCTTTCTGATTAGCCAGCAGGTGGGAACTTGGGGAACAATGGAACCTGCTTTCTAGAGGCCACACAGCAAATACAATGAACCAGTGAGAACCAGCAACCAAATAAAGCTGCCACAGTGTGGGACTTCCCAGTGGGCAGTGGGAGCGTTAGGTGTGGAATCAATGCCTGAGATTAACACTGGCCATTGCACCTTTTCACCAAGGTGGCCGTGAAGTCCTGAAGGCTGACGATAAAGCAGGAAAGCTAAGAACCTTGCCTAGTTTGACTTCTAAGCTTCAATTTTCTCACCTACAAAGGGGATAACGGTGGCTCCCTCATTGGGTCTGTAAAGATTAAGTGATTTAAAAACCATGCAAGAACGCCCCATATCCAGCCCAGGAAATTTCTGCAGAAGGAAGTTTTTTATCAAAGTCTTACGTATTTAGCATCAGCCCAGCCACTCTTTGGAGACCACATCTTCCCTTCTCCAATCATCCCAAGAGCAAGATGAGAGAGCGGAGCGAGGTCTCCACTGGCACCAACGGTTCCTTTTTCTGGCACATAGGACAGGCAGGAGGCTGGGAGAGAGGTAGGCATCAGTCACTTGGGGAGCACTTCATTCTCTCTGGCCATCCTTGCTTTGCCAGTGAGACCAGCCTCCCCCGGAAAGGAACTAGTATCACTTGATGTTGCACATACTCAGGGAAAGACAATTCCCCAAACACAACTAATGCTTGAGGGGCCTGGCTTAGCTGCCATAGAAAGAGTAAGGCAAGAGGCAAGGGGGAGAGGAGAAAGGCAGGAAGGAGAATGGGGGGAGGGAAGGATGGAAGGGGGACCCTCCCAGTAGCAAAGCCTTCTCTTGTAAGCCACTTTAAGTTTAGATTTTATCTTAAACTATAGGAGATATTATAGGTTTTAACTAGGACACTCTCAATTTGCTTTGTAAGGTGATTGGGCAAACACTGTGCATAGAGGGAGAATCAAAATCAGGTTCTGTGGAAGAAAGCTGATCTGGAACCTGTATCTCCAGAAGAATTATCTGTTCTTTTAACTACTTCCTCCTTGATCCTCTGCCACCTTGCTTACTGTTACTGTGCATATTCTAATTTGATACAAAAATTTCTAGAAATTATAGCAATGTATCTTAAAGACATCACAAACTAGCTGTTATTTATAGTCTTGTTTCTAAGAACAAAAAATTAGAAATGACCTAGACATGGAATTAAGACGCTTTTAAATGACCAAATGGTGTGTAGCCATTAAAAGCTGTTGGAGAAGGTTGGGAAATACGTATGTTAGAAAATAAAGTGTTACACAAGTGTACCGCCCATCACAATGTTAACAGGGGTTCTCTGGGGAGGTAAAGTCATAGGCAACTTAGTCTCTTCTTTTTTGCCAGATTATGTGTCACCCAGTTTGCCACCCCACCACCACTTATAAATAGACATGTACCATTTGGAGGAAATTCCCAATAAGTTACCCCAAAAGGGGCTTCTTTTTTCTCAAGTAAACTCAGACTCCCGATAGCAATGTTTCTTCCAACTGCTAAACAATGTCAGGAGGGTAAAGCTATGTCATCCACAGGCCAGCTTCTAGATCATATTTTAACCTGGGGAATTTTCAGAGCTCCAGGGACTCAGAGGTGCCTTAGACTCATTCATGAAGTATACGTGGTCTCCAGGCCAAAGCTGTACTATCTAAGATTATGGGGCAGACCAGGGTGGGAGAAAAATGGGTCTTGGAATCCCTCCGGGTTTGTTCAGCACAGCCCTATATACTATAAACTGTTCATACATCTTGCTTGTCACTGGTTGTTCTATCTGGTTTATGTGTCACTTGCGCCGTAGCATGGGGACTTGGGCATGTACTTTGCTTTATGTGACTATACAACCCCGCTTCTCCCCCAACTCTTTCACCCCCACAGAGTTCCCTGAGCCTCTGCTGACCTACAATGTTTATCCTTATCTGTGAGAAGGGACAGTGGCCTCCCAAACATTTCAAAGCATGCCTCCACTTTGGGATTTTCCTATAGCAAGTTCTAGCAAAGAGTTGAACTGCATCAGATTTTGGCAGTAGATGGTTTCATGATCCATAAGCTACTCTTTAATCTCTTTATAGTTCTGTTCCACTCTGGTGAGAAGTTGAATTTCAGTTATTTAAGTCTGGCTATCCCGCCATTTGGGAAGCATTCAGATTTCAGATTCCCAGGCACCAACCAGAACTACAGAACTGGTGTTTAGGTTGGACACCCAGGAATCCTTGTGTTTCCCAGATGATTTGATACAACTTCTCTAACCACATTGGGTTACAGATTCTACTGAATCAAAGGATCTTTGCAGCTCTGAACTTACGGCCAGACTTAAAGATGCCAAATGCTAAGTGAAGGGTAAGAGAAGTGAGTCAAAGTACATAGGAATAAGTGTCTCTGCCCGACCCTCCCTCTCCCTTAGCTATCCTTCTCTTGACAAGCCCATTTTCCATTCATCTCCATTATTATATGGCTTCTTGTTTCAGCCAATTCTTCACCATCCATCAATCAGTTCTATCTTATGGTACATGCCCAGCCTCAATGGAGGTCAGTCTGGTGATCCATTACATTACCATTAAATACATCAATAACTTGCTTGAGGGTTTCCAGAGAAATGCCACTGTATCCTTTGGCTAAGACATTGATCCTTAAAGCCAAGAGCATCCGACATCTCTCAGGGATCAGTGGTTTCCCAACACCTACGAAAAACAGAATTGATGTTTCCTCCTAGAAAACCAAAATCTTTTCCACTTCCTTGCATTTCTCAAATCTCACTTGACTTCAGTCCAGTCTCCTATTACCTTTCTCCTGTGGATGCAGATACTTGGACTGCCCTCTGTCCTGACTGCCTTGCTTCTTAAAGCCCCATCTTCTAGACAATGGGAGACCCCAGTCTTGTCCTCTCAGTTCTCTGTCCTAGAACACTTCAGTGAGCCCCTACCCTCCTCAACACTTAGAATGGCATCCGGACTCCAGCACAGGCTTCCCTGCAGTCAGATGGGACCTGATTCTTGCCTCCCCCTGTCCCGATGTGCTCATTCACTGAGTCCCAGCCTTAGTTTCATTCCCTGAAAGCACCACTCTCTTGGCATGATAGTCACATGCTTCTGCCCCAATCCCATCCCTACTTGGTCCATTCCTTCTGCTGAGATTCGGCTGAGAGGTGGTCTTGTCTGATACTTTCTGCTTCCCTTCCTCCCCCCGCAGCAGAATTAGCACTAGTTTTTGGAATACGTGAGCTCTTTGTGGCTGTCATAGGTGCCTCACATTGTGCTATACTTTGTTCGTCAAATCAAGCAAGATCTAGAAGGCACCCAGTATTTGGAATGATTTACCTGAAGCATGTGAGCGTACTAAGTTGACCTGGAGCTCTCTGGAAGAGAAAGGGAAACAGCGCTCTTAGATCCAAGTGAAAATGTTCCCTCAGCTGGTGAGATGGAGAACAGTTACACTTATGGAGTGGCAAAATGAGGCAGCGTGCTGCCGTGGTAGAAACCAGCAGGCCTGTTTCTAATACCAACTTGTATGCAAGTGAACACATGCCTCATCCTTTTCATGAGTAAATTGGGGGCAAATGTTAATTATCCCCCTTGAGAGAAATTTCAAAGACCGGGGTGGGCGGCATGTGAATGTGTGTGTGTTTGGTGGGGAGGGCAGGAATCAAACCTACTGTAGCTTACTGACAGGAATTAGAGTTCTGGCAAATTTTCCAAAGCCGGTAGTAATGCCGTAAACAACTAGAACAAAAAACAGACATTATACAGTTAGACACAGGCCATGTTTTTAAGTCTACAAAAAGAATTGAATAACACAAAGGAAAGAGATACCAGTTTTTTCTTTTACGATGCTGTCTATGACTTCCCTGGATTTTTGCACCTTCTTTTCAGCAGTTGGAGTGAGCTAGGAAAACGTTGTTAAGAGCTGAGCATGGTAAAGGCTTCCGTACGCAGCAAAAACGTTCAGAGAACATCCTTCCCCACCCACCCGCATACCTTTATTTTGTAACACCCCTTTCCCAGGTTGACCAGATCCTCTGTGGTTAGACTGTCCCCATCTAAGGCGATGTACTGCACAAAAGAAGAGGATCATCCCGTGAGTGTGAACAGCTCGGCTGCTTGAACAAGAGAATGGGGGAGCCTCAGGCAGGACCAAACTGGCACTTGGTAGATTTAACACTGTTGTGAAGCACTGATGTGCTAATTAAATACCAGCTTGCTTCAGAGGAGGCTGAGTACAGAAAGTTAGACATGACACAGAAAAGCATAATGCTTTTCCCTACCTTCTGCCGGGAGCTGGGTACGGCCCTGTCCTAACTGGCAGTGTTTGCTCAGGGACTTTTCTGCCCTCCCCTCTTTACATGAGGGAGACTTAATTTTCTTAACAAAAAGAGTGGTTGGAAGCTTACCTTCTCAGGCTCCCGGTATTTGCTGTATCTGAAGCCAGGTAAAGGAAAACCCTGGGTAGTGTGGAAAAGCCCCAACCCCGTTGCTGGCAGGAGCAGCCCCCAGAGCAGACCAACAAGCCTGCAGGAAAGGATACAGGTAAACGCCTTCTGGCTGTGAGGGAATGAAGTCAGGAGACATGGCATCCCCTTCTATCACTGAAACAAGAAGGCAAGATCCTTACAGATCACCGCAGAGAGCCACGCCTGGCATTGCTGGTAAATCAAGAAAGGGGCTCCTCAGCCGCCTTTGAATTCTATAGAAATGGCTGCTTTAAAATGACTCCAGATGCTTTCATATTCTCAGTGTCATTACAAAGGAGAGCAAAAAGCAGAGGGGGAGGTATCTGGTGTGGATACAGGGGTTTAAGGAAAGTTCAAGATTTAACCCCCACCTCCATCCCCATCCCCATCCCCAGCTTTATTTGGTTCTAACTCTGAACTCCTTCTGCCTAATATGCCTGTGGGGCCTTTAGTCTGGGGAGTTGTTTTGAAGGGTAACTGGAGATTCTGGACTGCAAAGGGAGTCAGACCTGCAGCCTGGGGTTCAAATGTAGTCTTTGCTACTTACTGAGGGTCTGACTCTAGCTAAGTCACCTCTTCTCTGTGTCTGTTGCCTCAGCCCTAAAAGGGGGATAAGAACCCTAGGTTTCTCTCAGGGTGTGTCTGAGAGACACAGAGGCCGAGCACGTGACGCAGCCGGAGAGCATTTTCCTGCCGGGGGACAGCAGCAGAGCCTCCTTCCCCCACAGCGATGTGAGGTCGAAGCCCAGCCCCATCAGGGTGCACTGCTCCCCTCCGGCCACTCACCCACTTCCACGAACTCGTTGTCCTCCAGGGCCACTTCGAGTGTGTCCTCATTGTCCAGCAGGCCCAGGCCCTTGCACCGGCGCACGAGGAAGTGCACGTCATCCACTGAGGCAAAGCCTCCGTTGTCTGGCTTGTTCTTTATGTAGCGCCGAATGGCCTCCCGGCCTAGCCAGCCCACGGTGCACTGTGCATCGCGGCAGGGCACTGCCAGCCACTCCCCGCGCACATGGACGGTGTACCTGGGCATGGCTGTGCTTCCCGACGTCTGCGGCCTGAGGAGACCACTGCAGCCAGGCCTGGCCTGAGCTTTCGCCTCTGACAGTCACCAGTGGCAGTCACTGGGAGGGGAGACTTTTATCTGGGAGTGACTACCAAGGTGTGGTTGGTGTGGAGGAGGAGGATGGACTTTCAAAACACATCCCCTCCCACACCTTTACCTATTTGTGCATTGAACAAATATTTATCGAGTGTGCTGTGGTGTCCCTTTGGGTCTCTGCTGCTGAGCTAGGGGCAGGAGAGGGGGTCACATGCAGGCCAGCAGCCTGTCTCCCTGC